ATAAATATTGTACACGCAACTTCGGGTATAAAGATAGGTGACTGTCCGGAGGGGAAGACAGTGTGTTCATGGAGTAGTGCACACTGTGGCTGGCTGCTGAGCAGACCTCTGTCAGGCCGAAAGAAAATCTTTTAGATAAACAATTAATAAACACAGAGACCGAAAGAAGAACTGAAGCCTCTTCTCGTCCTTTGATACGCGGGCTGCCCCAAGGCCACCTCGGGCATTTCCAGGCCCTCCAAACAGCCGAAAACCGGACACTAGAGGACTTACGAAAACAAGGAATGATTCTCCAAGTTTCCCCTCTAGACTTCAAGATACATAAAACCTGGGGATTGGGTGTTAATTAAATCCTGGAATGAACAACCATTGATACCATAATGGGAAGGTCCCTTTCAAGTGCTAATAACAACTGAGACGGGTGTCAGAACTGCTGAACAAGGGTGGACCCAAGCCGAGTCAAAGGACCTGTGGAAGAACCCAAGGAGTGGACTATAACATCTGAACCAGGTGATAAAACTGACTCTTAAACAGGGATTAAGAGGTAATGAACTGAGGTGATCCAAATAATCCAGAGAATGTTCCAAGGAGCACAGAAAATGGGGAAGGACAGCCAAGTTTGTATGGACTCTGAGACACCTTGATTTCACACCAGGGAAAGACACTTCAGCTCCCAGCAGCAAGACCAGGATTGTATTTGTCAAAAGGGAGGGGGCGTAATGTATTGACATTAGTATGTGATGTATTATTGTGGTTATCTCTCTCTGTGGATGGAAACTACTAGAGTCTGTTAAATGGGAAGGGCTCGGAGGACAAGGAAAAGATCATAATGGAAAAAGTACTAAAGGCAGCTAAAATTGGAAGGTGGCAAAATTGGGAGAAGTAACAAAGGGATGGAGGGCAACTCCAGGTTGGCCTTTGTACTTGCCACCAGGAAAATCATACACATCTGCTATAGGTAGCGACCCTATAAGGCATGGTGGAAGTAAAAGCCATACCAGACCTCTGTTACTCCCATTTTTGTCTGTCACTTGCCTTTTGTCACAGAGGACTTCCCATGCCATGAGAGCCATCAATCATTTTCTCAGGGAGACCCAAGGTTTTTGCTGCCCTCAGCCACGTCAACAGATACTGTTAGGACTCATTCAAGTATAATCAGATATAAGGAGAACAAGTTAAGAGAAGTTGATTTTCCTAGACAATTGGATGTTGTAATATGGTTGATGTTGGGTTGGAAAATTTTAAATAAATATGGTTAATGTTGGGTTGGTCAATTTCAAGTGTTGTAATGAAATTGGAAATGAGACTCATTTGCATGAGCCAAATAAATGAAGTATCAAGAGACAAAGGAGGGGATTGTAATGAATAAGGCGTAGTGATTGGCTCATGCAAACGAGGAGTTATTAAGGATGGTGAAAAAAAGTTCTGTTAAGGTTTACAGTTCTTTTGACATGTACTTTTGTTGTTCCAGTTTGGTTTTGAACCATTTTCTGCTCTCCCTCCAAGCCTCCCCTCCCCCAGTGTGGTTGCTGCCTGGCAGCTTTGGCCAACAGAGCTGTCAAAATGTGGGGCAGGGCCACATGGATACCTGCGCCTTGCAAGAGGTGGCAGGGACTGGGGGACACTTGTGGTGGGACACTTGGCAGGATAGCATCTCACCACCAATCAAGATGTAAGAGGGGCTCCCCCAAGGAGAGGCACAGAGAGCTAACATACAGACCTTGGGAGGAGCCAAATCTACTTATAAGAATAAGGTCATGGACCCCGGAGGAGCCAAGTGTACATATATATGTATGGGCAAAGCCACGGACTGTGGGAAGTGCTGGGAGGACACAGAGGGACTGTGCATGAATACTAGTGGGGCTGATGCAACCTGGAGCGTATAAAAGGCAAAGATGCCGTTTTGTGAGCTGAGCCTCTGGTGAGCAGAGAGAGTGTCACTATGCTCCTAGCGCTGTTTCCTCTTTGCTTTGTAACTTATCGGGTTCTAATTAAATTTTATGTAGTCATTCCCGCCCGGGGTCTGAGTCGTTTTTACAGTGATGAGCTGATCTCTGCTGGGTGATGAAAGGCTGAGGCCTCAGCTGCTCCCAAAGCCCTGGGCGTGTCCCTGTCTCAGTCGAAGTTGTAGTAAAGGCAGAAGGCGAAGAACATGGCAAAGATCTGGAATGATGGAGATGGGAAAGGATCAGCCCCATGGCAGGGCCGTGCCAGGCCAGGGGCAGAGAGGGGCTGGAGGATCCCTGGCCTGGGGCCATCCTGTGCCCCTCGAGCTCTCCTGGTGCTGCACAGGGACACCAGGGCAAGGAGACCCAGGGGGAGTAAAACAAACCCTTCCTTGTCCCTTCACCTGCACTGTCTGCAGCAGAGAGCAGGCTCTGTACCCCAAGACAGACCTGAGCCCATTTGTGCTCTCTCTGCTCAGTGAGCAACCCCCTGCCACAAGGAGTGGATGTTCCTCCTGCCCTGTCCCCAGCCCCCCTCATTACCTCAATGCCCAGCACGGCTAAGCTGCAGGTCCCAGGGAGGGAGATGTACCTCTGCAGGGTCTTGCCAAAGGTAGAGAAGCAGCCCTGGGGGAGAGAGAGGAGGGAAGGGCTCTCTCATGGTCCCCATGGCCACAGGGAGCCCAGAGGGGCACTGGGTTTCAGGGGGATGGGGGAGGGTCCCCTGTGGGGCAGGACGAGCTGAAGACTTTGGGAGCCACTGGACTGTAGAACCACAACAAGGCAATGTCCCTGGTTTCTGTCCTTCGTGGTCTCCTCCATGAGCCTGGTGAGGCTGTGACACGAACACACACTCAGCAGAGTTGTGCCATACCTGCTCATGGATGTAGCCAGGGCTTCTGTCCTGGCACTGCTCCCAGCCCAGGAGCTCTCCCGCCTGCAGAAGCCCATCCCGGGCACAGCATGCCCGTGGCCATGGCATCCCAGGGTGCAGCTCTTGGAAGCGGGAGCCATTCCCAAAATCTTCGGGTCCTAAAACACCACAGCACGAGAACTGGAACAGAAGGGAAACATCATCACCATGGTCACCCTTGGTGGATCCTGTGCATAGCCCAGGAGCCTCCCTGCTGCTCACCGTGACCATGAGGGTGTTCCAGGCTGTGGAGAACACCTCAGCACCCTCGTCCCCACCATAGTTCCTCTGCAACTCAGACAGGAAGTGCTCAGGCTGGACCTGCGGAATTGGTGCCAGGGCTGGGACTGTTCCTCTCCCACTCTGCTCAGGACTAGCTCCCTTTGAGGGGAATTGGGCACCCAGTGGATCCCCTCCACCTGCTTTGCAGTTTGTGTTGTGCTGCTGATGATGGAGGTGAGGGGAAGGGTGTCCCTCCACCAGCCCCAGTTGCCTGGTGGACTCAGAGCCATGGCCATGGCATGACAGAGGGAGGCTGGTGACACTGGGGATGGTGTTGGTACCTGTTTCCAGTGCACCAGGAAGAGAACGGCCCCAATGAGCTGCATGAGGAAGATGAGGCTGACGAGGATGAAGAACTGGAAGGCAGCAGGTGAAGGAGTCAGAGACCAGCCTGATCCCACCAGCAGCTTGCTCACGTCATCCCTGCCCTCCTCTGCACCATCCCTGCCTGTGCCCTGTGTCCCCGAGACCAGGGACATGAGTACAGCTCCTGGGGACGGATGCCACCTCTCTGACCAGTGCGGCTGCAAGACAGGGGTTAAAAACAAGCAGTGTCTGCAAGGAACTGATCATGCCAAAGAAATGGGGGTCCTGGTATTCAAACAGGTGTTTTTCTGCCCCTTACCAGCAGCGGGGTCATCTTGGAAATGCCATGTGAGAGAAGCCAGTGGCTTCAGAGAGAATTGACCCTACTTGGTGTCTTTATAAATCCTCTGGGCTCTAAATTGAGACTCATGAGGTGGGGAGTGGATGGCAGGACATGTTGAGGATGAGGAGCACCAGCTCCTCGCTCCCCCAGGAGCACCTGCATCCCAGCAACACCACCATTCAGCCCCTGACTCCTGCCCCCAGAGCCCCCGGCCATATCCTGCAGCCCTTCCCACCCATCTCCCCTCTCTCACCAGCAGCAGGAGCGGGCGGCTCCGGCGCAGGGCCCCGCAGCAGCCCAGGAAGCCCAGCAGGGACAGGGCGATGCCCACGGCCAGCAGCAGCCACGCGCCCGCACTCAGCACGGCCCTGGCGGCCACGATGCCCTGGAAACCAGCCGGGTCCACGGCCACCCAGACTCCCATGGCTGCCAGGCACGTTCCCCCAGCCTGCAGGGGAGGTCAGGAGATGATCACGGGCTCAGGGCATGTCCCAGGCTTGGTCCCCTCCCTGAGAATGGATGTCACCCACCCCTGAGCCAGACAGAAATGTCTCCCCTTGTGGATGGGGGATGCTTCAGCCCTTGGTTCCCTCCCTGGGACTGGTGTCACCCACCCCTGAGCCAGCTGGAGTTACTGGTCCCCAGGCACAGGTTCCCTCCACCCTTGCACCCCACAGAGCCCAGGGGGACTCACAAACACCAGCACGTTGAAGATGAACATCAGGTACTTCATGCAGCTCAAGACACCCATGGGGACACTGGGAGGGGACACAGGGCAGTATTTGTCCCTATGGAGAGGAGAGCAGAGCGCTGACCACAGCCAACCCTGACTTGCCCGGGACCCCATGGCTCCAGCAGAATGTGGGGGGATGCAGCTTCCCAAAATTCCCACATCATCTTCTATCCCCACCATCTCCCACAACAGCCCAAAAAGCCCCAAACCTGTGTCCTCTCCAAATCTGTGTCCCCTCCCAACCACGTCCCCTTCAAACCTCATGTCTCCAGTCCTCTGTCCCGTCTAAACCCTGTGTCCCCTCCAAATCTTGTGTCCCCTACAAACCCAGGTGCTCTACAGACCTCGTGTCCCCATCAAATCGTGTGTCCCCTACAAATTCCATGTCCCATCCAAAGCCATGTCCCCTCTAAATCCTGTGTCCCTTTCAGCCCCCACACCACTCACCCTGCAGGGACAGTGGGCGACCCAGGTACCTCCAACCTTCCCAGGTGCTGCCAGCACCTATATAACATCACGAAGGTCGGAAAATCTCTCCCCCCTTGCTACTCCAGCAGCCCCCAAGAAATCTCTTCCAGCAGCAAGGCCATGAATGATTGATGGGGAACAGGATCCACTATTGTGCAGCCGGCGGCTGGGAGTCTCCTGCTCTTGTCAGCCAAGGAAATTAAACCTGTGGGCAGGGAAAGACGAGCCACCCCACCAGGCCGGGGGTGACCTCGGCCTTTGATAATTGCTGCGGCCGTTCGGGAAAGCCCTCAATGGGCACACGTGGGCGGGCAGGTGGTCCTGCAGGGCTATCGGCTGTTGGGACGCAGTGACATCCCAGGTGGATGACAGGGTCTGTTTCCTCTTGTTGCCTACTTTAGGAGCTCTCTAAACACAGAGTCACGTTAGAAAGGCAACATTATTTATTCTGCACCCGGAACAAAGAGGAGGTTTCCACAAATCAAGCACACCGAGGGGTAAAAGGTTAAATACAGCAAAATTTACACGAACTGGCATATCTAAAGCATATTCTTCGCCTGCCTAATGCGTATTTGTTTTGGTGATGTAACTTTACTCAATGCCTGAAACACAAAGTTCTTCATTACAGCATCTTCTGATGGAGAAATTGAATTATGACAGCTACGTTTGCAAGAGGTGAGGGAATTCATCCCGAGGCCGATATTCCTCTGGACGGCGGTGTCGGTGTCACCGCGGTGTCACCCGGGGCGCTCCGGACTCTGTCCCCCCGCGGTACCCCGGGCTGCCACCAGGGGGCAACGGAGCGCGCAGCCATAGAGCTGCGCCGCGCGGCCAGAGCGGCTTCCGCCGGCACCCCAGCGGGGAGGCTCGGCCAATCGCAGCGGGCGGCGGCCGTTGGGGCGGGAGAAAAGAGAGACAGACAGTGATCTCGACCAATCATAGAAGGTCTTTTTTCGGGGCGGGGCCCTGGCGGGGGCGTGGCCCCGAGGCCGGAACCAGCGCTGTGCGTTCCCGTTCCCTCAGCGTTGCTTCCGGTGCCGCCGCCGCCGCCCGCGGGATGTAGCGGCCGGTGAGAGACGGGCGGGGGAGCGGGGCGTCCGCTGCTTCCAGCCCCCGGGTAGAGCCCTGCCGCCGGCCCCCTCGGTCCCGGTAACTCTGTGCTTCTTTCCCCCCAGCGCGGCGGCAGAAGGACGCGGAGGGACCTTCACCGGCTGCCTCGGAGCCGCACGCAGCCGCCGCCCCGATGGCGTCCCGCAAGGCCCCCGCCGGGGCGGGCAGCGGGCTTGCGGCCGCCGGCCGAGACCGGGAGCGGGACCGGGAGCGGGAGCGGGCGCACCTGGAGCTCGCCGAGCTGGGGCCGCTCCTGGAAGAGAAGGGGGACCAAGGAGCCACCGGCGCGGCCAGCGTGAGCCCCTCCGAGAGCCCCGGGCGGGAGGGGATCCCGAGCCACGCTCAGTCTCCGCGCTCCGTCTTCGCGGATTATGCCGGGAATCCGCCTGTTATCCCATTAAGAGCTAGAAGAGAAGGGCTCCGTGTTGTTCCTCGGGCCGGACCGTTTTCCGAGCAGGCCTAAACTGCTCCTGCCAAGCAGGCATGGAGCCGGGATAGTCCTTCCCAGAGACGTCACCGGGATCGCTGTGTCTGTACCGGCTGTTTCCAGTGCCCCAGCATTTCCACAGGGCCGGGAATCACCTTCCCGAATTCCTTCCCGGCTGAGGAGAGCGGGAGCTGTGCCGGGACCCAGAGCGTTCCCAGCTCGGAGCCGCCTCTGCTTGGGTGGGCCAGCTCGGGTCTCCCGGCTGGGCCAAGCAGCCGCTCCAGCCTTGATTGTAGGGATGAAAATCCCTGGTGCTAATCCCACTTTTCGACAGGATAAATCTGGGATTAGCATGCCTGGGATGGGTCAGGCAGCAGTGTGTTGCATAAACGAGGGTGACAGGCGGGTCCTGCCCGTCCCGTCAGAGGGATGAAGCGCCAGGTGCTCTCAGAAGGGCAGGGATGATTCCTCTCCCGGGGGCTGGAACGATTCCCTCCTGGCTCTTCTCGCTGCAGGCCGAGGACCCGCCATGCCCAGTGGCCCGTGAGGAGGAGGAGGAGGTGGTGCGGGTGCTGACCCTGCCTCTGCAGGCTCACCATGCCATGGAGAAGATGGAAGAGTTTGTGTACAAGGTACCGGAGCCTGTCGCAGTCCCCCAGTCTTGATTTTGGAGCAGATTCTCCAGTCCCTGGGTTTGGGGTGGCAGGATGTGTCCACATAAAGCTCCACGTGGCTGCAGCTGGCTCGAGCTCTGCTGGGCTGCTTCCAGCAGCGTCCCTGGGAATGGTGTAGGAAGCGGATGGCTGGATGGGGGTTGACCCAGTCATGGTGAGTGGAAACCTGGGAGCAATTCAGATGTTCCTGCAAGCCTGAGTGGGGCCCAGGGGTCCAAGTGCCAGCTGAGGTGTCACCCAGTGCCTGCAGTCAGTGTGGCTCCTGTGCTTCTTCCCTGATCAAATGGGAATTCCCACTGCAGGGAACAGTCTGTGGATGTGGAAGGGTTAAATCTGAGGGTATTAATCACCCCTGACTTCCTGGGGGCTCCTGGAATTGCTCAGTTCTTTGTGGGAGCTGAGGTGGGGGTACAGTCACTGCCTGGGAGGTTTTGGAGAGCAAAGGGCAGGATGTGAGTGAGTGCCTTACAGGGTCCCACAGGGCACCCGATGTCAGAGGAGCCAAACTTGCTCTCCCTGAGGAGCACCCCAGGGCTGGGCTGTTGCCGTGGGTTCGGGGCTGCCCTGACAACCCTGGTGTGTTGCAGGTGTGGGAAGGGCGCTGGCGCGTGATCCCGTACGACGTGCTGCCCGACTGGCTCAAGGACAACGATTACCTCCTGCACGGACACCGGCCCCCCATGCCCTCCTTCCGCGCCTGCTTCCGCAGCATCTTCCGCATTCACACCGAGACCGGCAACATCTGGACACACCTGCTGGGTGACTGTGGGGAAGGGGGAGCCCTGGGGCTGGAGGTACAGATCCTGCATTTGGGTCAGAACGGGCTTGGTGCAGGTTCCTCTCAAGGCCCAGGGCTCCTGTGCAGATCCTGTGCATGCATGAGGATCAGACATGGAGTGCCTGGAGCTCCTGGAGCCCTTTGGGAGAGAAGGACCAGGGCTGGCTCAGCCTCTGCAGGAGTGGGACAGGGAAATGTGTCCTGGGAAAAACAGGGGAGCCTCAGAGGATGTTCCTCTGAAATGAGTCAGAGAAGGCCACAGAGATGCTTTGAGGGCTGGATCTCTTCTGTTGTGGAGCTGGGCTGAGAATGCTGGAAATACTTAGCCTGAAGAAAGCTCCAGGGAGACCTCGGAGCCCCTTCCAGTACCTAAAGGGGCTCCAGGAGAGCTGGAGAGGGACTTTGGACAAGGACCAGGAGTCACAGGACAAGGGGGAATGGCTTCCCTCTGCCAGAGGGCAGGGATAGATGGGAGAGTGGAAGAAATTCTTCCCTCTGAGGGTGGTGAGGCCCCAGCCCAGGTTTCCCAGAGAAGCTGTGGCTGCCCCATCCCTGCAAGTGTCCACAGCCGGGTTGGACAGGGCTTGGAGCAACCTGGGATAGTGGAAGGTGTTCCTGCCATGGCAGGTGGTGAGCTTTAAGGTCCCTTCCCACCTAAACCAGTTTGCAATTCCACTACCCTGTGAATCAGCAGCTCTTTGCCCTGTGCCTGCCCCTTCCCCTGACCCCAGCCCTTCTTGTTTGCACAAACAAAGGCCTCAGCCAAGGACCCACTGTGGGTTACTGAACACCCCTGGGATACATCCAGCACTTCCAGGAGCATGGCCAGGGCTGTTCTTATCCTGGCTTTGCTGAAATTCCCACCTGTCCCCCTGACTTTACTCTCCATGTGTTCCTGCAGGGTTTGTTCTGTTCCTCTGCCTGGGGATCCTGACCATGCTGCGGCCCAACATGTACTTTATGGCTCCTCTCCAAGAGAAGGTGGTGTTTGGGATGTTCTTCCTGGGAGCAGTGCTGTGCCTCAGCTTCTCCTGGCTTTTCCACACTGTGTACTGTCACTCAGAGAAGGTCTCACGGACTTTTTCAAAGTGAGTCAGCATGAGTGTGGTTTTGTGGTCTCCTGGGAGGTTTTGGGTTTTTGCAGCACTTCCTCTTGGAAAGCACTGCATTCCCAAATGTTTTATCCCTGGGGTAAGAGAGTGTCAACCCAATCCAGCATGGAACTGAGGGAAACCATAACAGGGTTCTGGAGGGTTCTGCCTGAGCACCTGAAATGTGCCTGGTCAGGGGCCTCAGGTGCATGATAAAGATCCTGGGACCCTGCAGCTCCCAAGGGAACAGGATCCTGGCTCCCACAGGAATGGCCTCTGTGCTCCCAAGGGAACAGGCTCTATGCCCCTTACAGTAGTGAATTGAGGAGGGGTCTCGCTCTCATGGGGCAGCTGGGGGCCACGGCCAGTTTGGCAGGTTCCAGTTTACTGGGTGCTTTTAAAAACTTTTGGTTTGGATCCAGTTTGAACTGAAGCCAAATGCTAAGAAGAAACACAGATTCCCAGGAGAGTGGGAAGGCTAGTCAGTGGTTTATGCCTGTTCTGTGGCTGCTCCAAGGGTCAAGCTCCCATCAGCCTTTGCAGTGAGGCTCTCAAGTGACATTCTGCTCCCAAATGGCTGTTAAAGGCATTTATTTGGGTGCTGCTTGCTGGGAATCCTGCCCATCCCCTTTGCACAACCACCAGAGATCCCATGGGATTCTGTCTCCAGAACAAATCCAGCAGGAATTCCCTTGTGTGGCTGGGAAGGCAGTGGGGGCAGTTCAGGGGCCATGTTTCTGTGGTGAGATGAGTAGAGGATCACAGATCTATGTGCACAGGGATTTGTTGCCAGTGCTTTGAGCTCCATCCTCCTCTTGCCCCCCCTCAGCATTCCCACTGTGCCCAGGCCCTTTCTCCTGTCACACCTGCCCAGCACACTCCTCCTGCCCAGTGACTCCACTCAGGTGCAGGCTGGACAGTTCCCACACATGGAGGGGGTGGATTTTGGGGCTCACCTGTGGCTCTCTGTCATTGCACCCTGCCTGCAGGTTGGATTATTCAGGAATTGCACTGCTGATCATGGGGAGCTTCGTCCCGTGGCTCTACTACTCGTTCTACTGCTCCCCACAGCCAAGACTCATCTACCTCTCCATCGTCTGTGTCTTGGGTATCTCTGCCATCATTGTGGCACAGTGGGACCGATTTGCTACCCCCAAGCACAGGCAGACCAGAGCAGGTAGGAGCTCCCTCCTCCCCCGAGTCCTGGGAGGCACTTTGGGCCGATCCCATCTGGGAGAAGCTCTGGGCACCTGCAGGATTCATTCCCCCTGAGCAGCACACAGGACTGCAGGGAGTGGCCTCCTGTCTCCTCTTGCTGCGCTGAGGATTCATCTCCTGAGCAGAGCCTGAGGCTTGGAGTTTAAAAATAGCCCTGGGCAGGCTGGGGCTGTGCCTTTTCTGCCTTCTCTGGGAAGCAGTTTAGCAGCAGGAACCTGCAGCTGGGGCGGAGCAGGAAGGCATTCCTGAGCTCTTGCCTACCAGGCTGGCTGGTCCCTGCCTTCCTGGGGGTGGAGTGGGGGGCTGCCTCCAGCCCCACACCCCAATTTACCCCAGTCTTAATGGCAGATCCCATCAGCCTTGCTAAGCACCGGGAGACACCTCCCTCCTCAGCTCCCAGGGGTCCTGAAGCAAATGTCTCTCAGTACACTGTCCTGGCTACATGAGTGAGGAAGGACCAGGCTGAGACAGGGGCCACCTGAGAGCCCTCAGATGAGGGCAGGGGACAGGCAGGACTCATCCCCATGGCTCCTCCCCACTTCATCTTGTGCCCCCAGCATGAACAGGATCCAGCCGAATGCCACCCAGAGCCTCCCCGGGCCAGCGTCACTATGGTGCCACTTGTTCTCTGTCAACTCATCAGATGCCAGAGTTGAACATTTCAGCTCCTGCTGAGCTCCTTCCTCAGGAGCTGCAAGAAATTACTTTCTTGGAAGGGGTGGCTGTGTTCCTGGTGCAATCCAAAAGGCTGGCGCCTTCCAAAATGTCCATTCCCGTACTCAGGAGCGGGAGCTGCTGCAGTCCTGCATAAGAAACACTGGGTGGGTTCTGCCCAGTGAGCATCAGGGCTGTTTACCTGGGTTGTGGAGCTGTGGGCCCCTCATTTTGTGAAGGATAAGTGCTATGAGGACTGGAGAGGTTTAAGTGCTTGGATAACGCTTTCAGGCACTGGGTGAGATTGTTTGGGGGTCTCCAGTGCAGGGCTAAGAGTTGGGCACAATGATCCATATGGGTCGTTTTCAGCTTGAGATATTCTGTTAATTCAGTGAAGAAAAGATGCTTTGCTAGCACAGGATGAGGGATCAAGGGGAGTTTGTGGGAGGAGTGGCTCCCCCTCCACACTTGAGCTCTTTTCCCTGACCTCCTCTCTGGGCCGCAGGCGTGTTCCTGGGGCTGGGACTGAGTGGGGTTGTGCCCACCATGCACTTCACCATTGCCGAGGGCTTTGTGAAGGCCACCACGGTGGGGCAGATGGGCTGGTTCTTCCTCATGGCTGTGATGTACATCACGGGCGCTGGGCTCTACGCTGCCCGCATCCCTGAGCGCTTCTTCCCGGGCAAGTTTGACATCTGGGTGAGTGTGGGGGTGAACAGGTTGTCTGGGGGCAGCTCTGGGGTCAGGGGAGGGGGCACTGAGGGGCTGGAGGCTGGGGGTGTCCGGCTGTGCCTCAGCACATGCTGGCAGCCAGACCTTGAACAGGTTGTGTGCGTGGGCAGGGCAAAGTACAGGGTGGAAATCGCTGCTGGGGGCAAGAGTGGGGAGCAGAGGACAGTCCTGGAGCAGCGCAGCAGAGGAGGAGGTGTTGATAATGTGGCTGACCCCTTTGATGTGGTCTAAAGGCTTTTTTGCTTCCCTGCAGTTCCAGTCTCATCAGATTTTCCACGTGCTGGTGGTGGCTGCAGCCTTTGTCCACTTCTACGGGGTGTCCAACCTGCAGGAATTCCGCTACGGCCTGGAAGGGGGGTGCACAGATGACTCTCTCCTCTGAGAGCGCCTGGTTTTAGTACAAGCTTCCTAAGTGCTTTTTAAACTCTTGTCTTTGCTAAAATCAAAGGAAGACTCAAAACCATTTGGGGTTGTTGGTTTGTTGTTTTTTTTTTTTAAAGAAACAAAAAAATAAGAAATGGATAAATCCTTTAGCAAAGTTGTTGACCAAATCCTCACCCCCTTCCCCACGCACTGCGCTGGGGCTGCAGGGGCACTCCCGACTCCTCCAGACAGTGTTTTAGCTGCACTGGGATCACCTGCTGCTCTGACAGCACAGGGAACAGCTCCCTGCTCCCACACAGCTGAGCACATCCCGCTCCTCACGCACCAGGAGTTCTGCATATCCCCCACAGCAGTGCCTGGCTGGGGCAGCCCCAGGCATGGGCACACACCATGTAATTTAAAGTTTTAATTGTCCTTTTTGTTTTGTTCTGTTTTCCTTGACAAAGTAATGTAAACATAAATGAAAGAATATTTAATATTTAATACTAAGCTTTAAGACAACGCGCTGCCACCGCAGTCCTCAGCTCCCTCGCTGTCGGGAGGAAGGACAGTGTTGTAGGGAATGTAGAGCTGCTGTAGCTGATTGAAATAAAAAGGTCAATAGTTCAGTGTCACTGCTGTGCCTGTGTCCATTTTTGAGGTGGGGAAGAGAGGGCTCTGGACACCCCAGGAGCAGGACAGGAGCGCCCCAGGGCAGTGGGATCCCTCCAGCTGCGGTCGACTCTGAACTGGGCTGGAATAAACCAGGAAATTGGGCATTGTGGCGGTGACAGGGCAGGAAATGGCCCTGGTTGGTGACAGCTCCAGGACTGTGACTTCCCTTGGGGCTCAGTAGGGCAGGAGAGGTGTCACACACAGGTAGGGTGGGGGCAGTGCAGGACTGTGCTCTAGGCAGGGGCTTCTCCTGGTGCACAGGGGACAGTGATTATCAGGGGGTTTGGAGAGGCAGAGGTCAGCACAGCAAAGCCCAGTTCAGGCAGTAGAAGGCCATTGCCTGACCTATGGGTGGAGTGTAGGCAGAGCTGCTGGAGCCCCTGTGCCACCTGTCCCTGCCATCCCCCAGAGGTGAGGGTGTCCTTTTGCTGAGCTGTTTGGATGTAGGCCAGCTTTGGAAATCCCCCAGCCTCCATAACGTATCAGGAACTGCCAGCAAGCAACGGTGTCAATTAGTTAATTAACAAGTTACAACAAAAAAACTCACTGGATGTGATTCTGTAACTGCTGGCAAGAGGGGAAGGGGTTTCTACAGCTGGAGTTTAAGGACAAAACCACAGAGCAGATATGGTCACTCTGCTCAGGCCAAGATCTGAGATGAAAAGCAGGAGGCCGTGGTGGCAGCAGGTGCAATGCTTCCCCCTCCAGCCCCATAACCTAAATCTAACAGGGAAAAGGCGACATTCCAGCTGCATTCACTGCAGGCACAACATCCCAGAGGAGACTCCAAGACTTTCACTCCAGTTTGTGTCCAAAGGATGACAAGACTCCATTTGGTCCTTGTCTCAAACTTCCTTGTATTCTACCAGACATGTGTAACATTACAGCAATGGAATATATCAGGAATAAATAGATTTTCTTTTCTAAAAGTTCTCCTGAGCAGTTTGAGGTTGAGAAATGCTGCAGGTCCTCCTCGTGTGGCGTGTAACCACTGGTGTTAGGTACAAACCCCCTCCACATCCTCCAGGTGGGACCACTCAGGGAAGGAAAAGACAAGAGGAGGCGGAGGAAGAGGAGGAGGAGGAGGAGGAGGGGGGAGGAGGGAGAAGGTGGTTGGGGACCATCATTGATACTGTCGGTAGTCGCTGAATGGGGGTGGCTGGAGCTGGGATGGATCCTCTGACAACTGTGGGCCTGGAGGAGGGAGAGGAGAAAAGGAAAATAAATACCAAAATGCAGGCAATTCTTCCTATTAATAGAAATCACAGCTGGTTTGTTTATATAAATCCCTCTTAAAATGAATCATAAACCCTGGAATTGTTTGGGTTTCATAAAAAGTTTCAAAAGTTGCATAGAATCAAAGACTGGTTGGGCTTGGAAAAGACCTTAAAGCTTATGCAGTTCTACCCCCTGCCATGGCAGGGACACCTTCCACTATCCCAGGTTGCTCCAAGCCTCAGCCAACATGGCCTTGGACACTTCCAGCATTGGGGCAGCCACAGATTCTCAGGGAAACCTGAGCCAGGGCCTCACCCTCAGAGGAAGAATTTCTTCCCAATATCCCATCTCACTGTGCCTTCTGGCAGTGGGAAGCCATTCCCCCTTGTCCTGTCCCTCCAGGACCTTGTCTGAAACCGCTCTTCAGCTCTCTTTTAGGAAAGTACACTGTGCAAGCTGCTCCAAAGACAAACCACTTCTCTCTGAGTTTCATAGAATCCATAGAATTGTGGAATGATTTGGGTTGTCGCAGCTGGTGGGCGAGCCCACCAGGGGAGGGACTATGTTAGATCTGTTATTTGCAACTAGACACGGGTTGGTGGGAGATGTGGTGGTTGGAGGCCACTGGGGGCATAGAGAAATTATAAAATTCTCAATATTTGGTGAAGTCAAGAGGAACACTAATAAGACTTTTACACTGGATTTCGGAGGGCAGACTTTGGTCTATTCAGGAGACTTGTTGAGAGAGTTCCTTGGGAAGTAGTCCTTCAAAATAAAGGAGTTCAGGAAGGGCAGGTGTGCTTCAAAATGGAGATCTTGAGGGCACAGGAAGAGACTGTCCCTGTGTGCCCAAAGACAAGTCCACGAGGCAAATGCCCAGCCTGGATGGGCAGGGAGGTTTTGAAGGAACTCATGAATCAAAAAAGGATGTATTATCTTTGGAAGGAGGGTCAGGTTTCTCAGGTAGTATTTAAGAGGGCTGCTAGAGCATGTAGGAAAAAAATTAGAGACGCTAAAGCTCAGCTTGAACTTAAAATGGCGACTTTTGTAAAGGATAACAAAAATGTTTTTATAAATATATTAGTGGTAAAAGGAAGAGTAAGACTAACGTTTGTTCTTTATTAGATGCAGAAGGGAACTTAGGAACTGCGGATGAGAAGGCAGAGGTGCTTAACGCCTTCTTTGTCTCAGTTTTTAGTGAGAAGACTTGCCTTCAGGATAACTGTCCTTTTGGGTTGCTCAGTCATATCAGGGAGCAGAACGGTCCCCCCACTATCCAAGAGGAGGCAGTCAGAGAACTGCTGAGCTGCTTGGATATTTATAAATCCCTGGGAGCAGATGGGATCCACCCCAAGGTGATGAGGGAGCTGGCAGCTGAGGTTGCCAAGCCAGTCTCCATCATTTACCAACAGTCCTGGCTCACTGGGGAGGTTCCAGATGACTGGAAGCTGCCCAGTGAGACACCCATTCACAAAAACAGTGGGAAGGAGGATCCTGTAATCATAGGCCAGTCAACCTGACCTCAGTACCCAGTTAGATCATGGAACAGTTTACACTGAGTGTCATCACACAGCATTTATAGGATGGCCAGGGGATAAAACCCAGCCAGCAGGAGTTCAGGAGGGTTGGGTCATGTAGAATCAGTCTGGGATTCTATGACAGAGGTATTTAGGATTTTCCACAGGAAGCATTCACACAACAGTCTGAGACTCAGTGAGATATTGAAGCAGTTTAGAAGAGAATCACCAGCACCATTTTGGAAATCATGTATCTGCACCTGCCAGGTCTTCATCTTCTCATTTACCTGGGGTTCCCCAAACAGACTACAGCCTGCCAGAACCACCCTCCCTTTGCACAATTTGCTGCCTGCCATTCCCTCAAACCATTGTGTCTCACCCCTGAAAAAAACCCTTCTGCCACCATGTGTGTGGCAGAAGCCAGGGACAGCAGGGACATCCCTGCTCTCAGCCATGCTAGCTCACATCTCCCAGCAGGAGATAATCTCATGTCATCAGCACCTGCAGCTTCTCCTTGGCTTTCCACAGCCACAGGAGCTGGCAGGGCAGTGCGGATTCACTCTAGGATAAGATGACTGCCAGGGGCCCATCAGCAAAGCAAATCCTTGTGACATATCCTCTGCCGGCTCCTTACCATTTGGGAATTGTGTGGAGGCAAATCTAGTCAGCAGAATTCCAGCTCCTTCAATCAGGGCCAGGAGAATTCCTCCCATTGCAGCAGATCCAACCATGGCAACAGGGCCATCTGGAAATGAAAAGCACAAACCAACACTTAATTTCTGTGCTGCATGTAAGAATCCATTGAATCCCAGGATGGTTTGGGCTGGAAGGGACCCTGAAGATCCTTTAGTTCCACACCCTCCATGGGCAGGGACACCTTCCACTATTCCAGGCTGCTTCAAGCCCCATCCAACCCAGCCTTGGACACTTCCAGGGATGGGACAGCCACAGCTGCTCTGGGTAACCTGTGTCAGGGCCTGCCCACCCTCTTCATGCCTTAATCTCTCCTAAAACAGACTCAGAGCAGTAATTTTGCATCCATTAAGATGCATTAAAGATAATTACTGGGCAACTCCCCCTGTCCTTCCTTCAAGGAACACTGGGAACATTTGGGAGCCTGATTATTACTTTCCTAAGCACAGGAAAAATGTTTCAGATTATTTTTCAGCATCTGAGACAGCAGATGCCAATTAGGGTTCACAGAATGTTGCTTTGCTATACAATGAGAACTGAACATTTAGAGAATAGGAGATTTTCAACTGATATCCCCAGTTTCTTACTTCTTGCAGCTAAAATGGCTCCAGTCAGGGCTCCGCTTGTGATGGAATTCCAGGGATCTTCCTTCCCTCTCATTCTGACCATACTGCAGTCAATCATGGAGAAGAGACCTCCCCAGACAGCAAAACTCCCTGTTCCAAATCAAACCAAAGCCACTTTGAAGAGAGCAGAGAAGCCAGTTATGCTGCACAACAGATGTTGTGGTGTTACTGGGCTCCCTTTAAGACATGAAGTAAATTCAAACTCATAAAGAACCAAGTACAGGTTAAAATCAATACAGGGAAATTTCCAACTTGACATGTCATCATTGGCCTCTCGTCCCATTTTATATATGATCTCACTAATCTACAGTTAACTACAGAAGATTTATCAAACTGTGATTATAAAGGAACTTTCATTCTAACAAAGTCAGATTAGCTAAGGGAACTTCCAAATTTATCCATTTTTAACATAGCTCCTTACAGACAATGATGGAGAGTCATGTCACACCTCACACTTCACCCAACCCTGCTCCTGTGGCCTCAGGAGCTTGGCATTCTACAGTACATGCATGGATATCCCCAAGTTCTATTTTTCATCCAAGCTGGACCACTTCTTGTAATGAGTTAGTTTTATCTCAACCCCTTCCACACCATGAAGAGGCTCCAGGGATCTCTGCTGTTTAAGATATGACCAGTTATTACAGCTGTCTTATAATTCCAGGAACATGGACTGTTTCCTCCCCATCCAAACCACTTTTGGATATATCAGAACTGTATTTACCCATCGCTTGGGCCAACAAAAGTGCTGAGACTCAGCGCAGGTGTCAGTGTTTGTTACAGTTTGTTACATTCCCAAAACAAACTCTGTTATCTAGCAACAGTCAATTCTGTGTAACAAAACCCCAAAATTCATTACCTCCCAGTTGTGGAGCTCTGGTTTTAATAGCCGTCAAACTGCCCCGCAGCCGGTGGTTTACACCCTAAAATAAGAGAATTCAGTCAAAAGAAAACAGTCAGATCTTACAGCCAAGCTGAGTCTATATTGCAAAACCCTGCCACAGGCCCAACACATTTCTGAGCTCCCTCAGCAGCTGTAAGGAGCTGAGACAAAGTGTACTTTACACCTATTGCACTATTTATCATTCCCATACAATATTCCTGTCAGGTACAGATGGGAATTACAGTCACCAGGCAGGAAACAATCCGGGTTCACAGTCTCAGTGGGACTGAAGGAGGCATTACAGTAACATTTTATCAGGATAAGCAGTGATTTTTCACAGGTATAATTTTTTCTTCCCAGATGCTGGGCAATCCCATTAGTTGTCCTATGTTCAGTCATTCCTGCAGGTGCAATTGTAGGTGTCTTTGTAGCCAAGAGAAGCAAAGTCATGCTGAGCCTTCCAGAGTCCAATACTCAACATGTCACACAGGGCCCCACAGAACAACTGCACATTCTCCCAGACTTTAACACAGTTTAAAGACTATCCACCAAGTTTTATTTTTGTTACAATCACTCAGAAGTGGGGACAGGTATATTTAGCAAGCCTTAAGCAAAATTAAGACTCTGATTCAGAACACAGTCCTTTGCAAGTGAAGTGTCTGCAGGATCTGACTAGTTTGGAAACAGTTATTTATTAAACCCACCTCAAACCAACAGCTTATTGTCAGACTAATATCAAAAACACCTTATCTATGAAGTTAGAGAAATTTTAAAATTAATGTTCAAGCAGCAACTGAATCTTAATTTATCAAATGTCTCTGCAATGGGTTTATAGCCAAGATTTTGCAGCAGATATCCCAAAAGTGAAAACCGACTTGTATCAGCAAAACTTCACGTCCATGTTTACTCACTCCTGCATTGAAACCAAATCTGAGCACTAAGAAATCGAGCTAATAAAAATGGCAATGATTAAAAAGAGATTAATTAAAGAAAAATATACCCTTTAGATAAATCTGAAGGAGAAAAAATTCTTTGAGTCATTCCATGTTTTAAAAGAAAGGGAAAGGCCAGGAGAGGAAGGAGAGCTTAGCTTCATGTCCCTCCATGCAGACAGAACCACAGGCAGATGAATCTTTCCAGCTGCACTTCCTATCCTGAGGGAAATGTTCATCAGTTAGGGAAGAACACATGACCAGTGTCCCACTGTGGACACCAGAGCAAACGGGGGAGCAGCAATTTTATCCCAAAAGATGAAGAAAGGTCTTGAACCAGGACAGATTCTCACGGTGTGGATTAACAATGTAGAGGTCTTTAATCAGCCCTGCTCCCTGCACAGGGATTTATTCTCCTTCCCCTTCACTGTCACACTCCCTGGGGAAGGGCAGTGGAGGCAGGGCTGCAGTCAATGCACCTGCAGAGGATTTTACTCACCACTGGGGAATTTCGGAAGCCTTTGATAGCCTGGAAAATGCCCCCTCCTATGGCCCCCATGGTGAAGGCCCCTCCACAGTCATCCACTATCCTCCAGGGACTAGAAAGAAAAATAGAGATGAAAACATTAAATCCCATCATGTTAAACCATGTAAGTGAGTGGGATGGATCCAGCACTTCAGCACTGGTATAACTGGGGTGAAGACTGAGCCTGGTGGCTACACCATCTCAGCTAACTGAGCAGGCAGCAACAAAAAATCAAGAATATTACAGCAAAACAGACTCAACCTTTGCCAGAGTCTCCTGGCCCACTACCCCGAAGTGGGAAGTACCAAATATACAGAAATGCCTGAACTCCTCACACAAGGCAGAGAGACATACCTCCATCATGGAAAACTCCTGAAGAATTCCAGCTCTGCCCTACACTATTTACATAGTGTAAATAGCTTTACATTCCCTGATCTCATTCTTCTCTTGACCTACAGAGAATTGAGGTACCAAATTCCATGAGACGCAGCTCCCAGGTGGCACAAAACACTTTTTCTTGAATCACTCATCCTTTTCATTAGCTCTGCTTATTTAAGTGAGACTTCAAAGTCATCTTTGCTGAGCTGGAAAGGTTTTTCCTGATGCATCCTGGATCTCTGAAGTCCATTCCAACAAAAGAGATCTCTCCTCAGAGGTATAGCACCCACAATTCCTGCTCCAACACCACAGAGCAGCCAGGAAAACCTTGCATAGAACCTTCCTGCAGCACAGGCTGTCAGTATCTGACAAGGGACCCTTATTTACAGGTTCAGAACCTCCGCCAAGAACTGGAGCCCTGCAACTCCAAACCAAACTCTAGAATTAGGTGAGTTTTAAGATGCCATTAATTTCTGGTGTCACTGTGGGTAATTTCAGAGCAGAGAATAACAAAGTTGTTTGGTTTCTTTCATCTTGTATCTAGATCTTCCAGCCAAGCACTCAGGTAATTTAACTCCTACACTGCCAATCATCAGAAAATGCAAAAATCAGCCTACAACAGCATGCAGGTCACAAATGGGAGCACCATGGCAAGCTCAGTGTTTCTGTCAGGCAGGAGCATCAATGAGCACTTCCAATTTCACTTGTAATGTCATGCTTCTGTTCCTGAGGAACCCCTACAGCTTCCAGCTCCTGCACATGAGGACATCATCCCTGATGATCCCTTACAGACCTCCCCTAGCGAGGGGTGATCAATCCCCCTCACTGTGCTGCAGCATTTGCCATACGGTGTTTTCTTCCTGGAGAAAGTATCTCTAATTTTCAGTCCCTCTCCCTGAGTGTTCTCCCAGGCTCTTCATGTTCACAACCTACTTCCAAAGCTCCTCCTCTGCAGCCAGCCCTGCCCCCTACAAAGGGAACCCCGGCGTGCACAGGTCACACTCAACGTCGGCTTTGCTTTTGTGCCTTGGATCGCTGGGTTGTTCCCAAGACACCAGGACCATACCCAAGTGTCACCACTGAGTGTCCCCAGAGACAGCCACATCCAGGTCCCAAACCCACAAGGCCTCAGGAAGCAGGGGGGGCATTTTACTCTCCACCACCTCCTGTTTGTCTGCCATGCCCGCATATGGTCTCATTTTATCTCATTACAACCCCCTCAGCCCCAACTGCATTCAATAATTCAACAGTTTATTTTCCTTCCACTTTTTCCTGCATCAGGAAAAGCTCCCAGACACACTCTTGTCCAAGATGCCAAGATGAAAAGAAACTCACATTTTTCTCAGGGATTTTTTTGTTTTGTTCTTACATCTCCTGTGCAGATTTTTATCTCCTCTGCTATGAATAAAACATCCTAACCCTCTTCCTTTGTTAACTCTCTGAGAGTGATCTCGTTAAAATGCTTTTTGGAAATCTAAATGGAGTATATAAAGTGGACTTCCCTTATCCATAAAGTCAAGGGATTCCAAACTACAAATCATGGCTGCTTTATTCTTGAAGCCTTGTTAATGAGACCCCAATCAGGGAATGCTTCCCTCTTTAACCTCATTAACTGTTACCTTCAGGGTTCCTAATTTTCCTTTTAAACTACTCTCCAAACTTTTCTGAGCAGCTTTTAAATGAGAACATCTTTGATGTCAGCACAGCCAGCACGTGTCAGCTCCTCCAAACTCCCTCAGAGCTGATGCAAAATACCTCTAGCCCTGGCACTGCCTGACCTCATAAAGAACTGGGGGAGAAGAAAAGAGATTATTTCATTCTTCATCTGGCACTTATCTACAAGCAAAACATTCCTGTTAATTGTTTAACTGTACTCAGAGGGGAGCCCTGACTATAGGGAAATGACACGTGGATAAGGTTGGGTTCCTGCTCCTGATGGCACCAGAAATTTCTCTAAGATGAGCAGAGCAGAGGGCAAGACTTCACCTTTTCCCAAGGCTATGGGACAGCCACACACCAGCTCTGGCTGCCTGGGAGAGGGGTGAGTCCTCCCTCCAATCCCCACAGCACCCTCCAGCCCTCCTGAAGGCTGTATAACAACTGGAAACAGAGGCTGCCACAGTTTAAATGAGCAAAGGGGCCTTTTCTCTGTGTCTCTGTGCCAAGGGTTCACAGGAACCCAGCTTGAGCCCAGGACAGCTCCAGGGGCTGGGTAACAGAAGGGCCACAGGGTGACCAGCAGCCAGAACAATGGCGGACACCAACATGTTTGGCAGCAAAACAGCCCCACATGGTTTGGCAGCAAAACACCTCAACTGCACAGCACTAAGGACACAGCTTCATGCTGTGCCTGGGGAGGGTGAGGACAATACTAGGAGGAATTTCTCAACAGAAGGGACTGTCAGGCAGGGGAAGGGACTGCCTAGGGAGGTGGTGGAATCCCCATCCCCCGAGGTGTTCAAGGAATGATTGGACATGGCACTCAGTGCTCTGCTCTGGTTGACAAGGTGGGGTCACAGGTTGGACTTGATGGTCTGAGAGATCTTTTCCAAGCTAAGTAATTTTGGGATTACCTGGAGCCCACAACAATCTGTTAATAAGTACTATTTACTTTGCACGTGTCCCAGATGTCATGCTGTGAAAAGGTGATGTTTATGGACAAACCTAATGCACGCCAGCAGAGCAATCTGCAAAGTTTGGGAAAAGCCTCATGAACAGTCACAGGTGTCTTGTCTGCAAAGGTGAGCAGAATCTCAGACTGGTTTGGGCTGGAAGAGACCTTGAAGCTCATCCTATTCCTCCCCCTGCCATGGGCAGGGACACCTTCCACCACCCCAGGTTGCTCCAAGCCCCAGTGTCCAACCTGGCCTTGGACACTGCCAGGGATGGGCCAGCCACAGCCTCTCTGGGTAACCTGTGTCAGGGCCTCATGAAACAGGGAAGAATTTTCTCCCACTGTCCCATCTAACCTTGCCCTCTGGCAGTGGGATGCCATTCCCCTCTGTCCTGCCTGTGACTCCAGGCCCTTGTCCCAAGTTCCTCACCATGATGAGAAACTTTGCCCATGATTCAGTAACCCTGCACCTGAGCTTGCATTTAATCCTTTCACTACTACAAATACAACCTTTGACTTGCAACTAATGTGCCTGTGTAGGTCTACAAAGACAGTGCTGAACCATGACAGGATTGGCACGGAGGGGGCCAGGCTAGGCTTATGGAAATGGAGAGGGAGAAGGGCAGGGCCACGGGAGGCATGAGGGGAGCCTGGGGGCCAAGGATGGGGGAGGACTTGGGGACTGAAGGGAGGCTGAAGATAAATTAAGGATGAGACAAGGCTGAGGTGGGACGTGGCAGAGACTGAGAGTGCGGTGGGCTGCAAATGAAAGGAAGGCTGAGATGGGAGGCTGAAAATGGTAGGACTGAGAATTGGGAGGGCTTTGGATGAGAGGGAGAACTGAGGATGGCGGGACTGAGATGGTGGCTGAGGATAAACGGGGGACTGAGGATTGGAGGGGCTGTACATCGGGGGGAGCCAAGAGGCGAGCTGAGATAGGGAGCAGAGGGGGAGGGGAGCAGCCTGTGGGGGACGAGGAAGCGACCGAGAATGTGAGGAGCTGAGGATAAGCGGGAATTGAGGATAGGGAAGCCGATGATGGGGGACTGAGAGTGAGGAGGCACTAAGGACAAGGGAAGGCTGGAAGGGAAGCTGAGGATGAGGGACGGAGGCAAGGCTGCGAGGAAGGGGCTGCTGAAGGACCGAACGTGGGACCGTCAGTGCAGGCCGCGCCGCCCCCGGAGGCGCGTGAGCCGTGCAGGCCACAGGACCCCGCCGGCCCCTCGCCGCTCCGGGAGGCCTCGCGGGGCTCGACGGCGGAGGGGTTTGGCTGCCCAGGCTCAGAACGGGCCGCACGGCCTCCCCCGCCTCCCTCAGGGGGCCCCACCAAGGTCAACCCCGCCCCCACGACGGGGAGCGGCCCCGAGGAGCGGCCGCGAGTGCGCCCGCACCGCTCCCTCGCACCGCCCCTTCCTGGCGCTCGCAGATCCCGATCCCAGATCCCGATCCCCAGTCCCCGGTCCCGATCCCCTCACCAGGGCTCGCGAGCGTACTCCTCCATCTTGCTCGGCCCCACCACCTCCCCACGCGCGATTGGCTGCAGCGGCCCCGCGCCGGCCAATGGCAGCGGAGGGCGGGACGAGGTGACGATTAGGGACGTGTCTGCGCATGCGCCATTCCCTGGCCCCGCCCCCGGCGCTGATTGACAGGCGCAGTGACGGTGGGAGGGTTGCCCAGCCGTGAGGAGGGAAACGTCGGCGCGAGGGATGCGTTGGGTGCGATGCCCCTGAAATTTCATCCAGTGCCACGCCTCGCCATGGGCAAGGACACTTTGCACTATTCCAGGGCGCTCCAAGCTCCGCCTATCCTGACCTTGGACATTGCCAGGCATGGGGCAGCTACAGCTTCTCTGGGCAACCTGGGCCAGGGCCTCACCATCCTCACAAGGAGAGGAATTCCTTCCCAATACCCCATCTCACCCTTTGTCAGTGGGAAGTTCTTTGTCTTGTCACTCCAGGACTTTGTCCAAAGTCCCTCTCCAGCTCTTTTAGAAACTGTACCTGTGTAAGTTGCTCCAAGGACAAACTACTCTGCCCCAAATTTAATGGAATCAAGGAGTGATTTGGGTTTGAAGGGACCTTAAATCTCAAATCATTCCCCCCCCTACCATGGGCAGGGACGTCTTCCACCAGACCAGGTTGCTTCAAGCTTGTCCAACCTGGCCTAGAACGTCAGGGTCCAAGCACACGTTATTCCTGATGCTGCTGCATGAGCTGGGCTGACCTCACATGTCCCAGGGGATGCTCTTGTGGTCCTGCATGCAGCTGGAGCTGGGACTTGACATTCCTAATACCAAGTCAGTTTCCTGGACAGGCAGAGCTGGAATCAGGGAACAGTGTCTGTGCCTGCAGAAAATTCCTGGGCAGCTTGCAAAGCTCTCAGCACAAGATGAGGGTGTTCCCTCTTGTCCCATCACTTGTTCTCTGGAACCAGCTCTACCCCCACCTGGCTCCACCCTCCTGTCAGGGAGCTGTGGAGAGTGAGAAGGTCTCCCCTCATCCTCTTTCTGCCTTGAAGCCTTGCCCAACACAGTGGTTTGCAGCCTCTCTAACTTGTAAAGTGCTTATTCTTTTCCACTCCTAATTTAACAATACACACTCTGCTCTCTTTGAAGGGCAGCAAATAATTTGGTAGCAAAAAGCTGAATGCAAAACAAGTTGCTCTCCAGTGACTTAACTGTTTTAATAAGTAATGGTCTGAAGCACCATGAAGGAGCAAGAATGCTCCACCTGCTGTGCTGGGTTTTGATGCTTTAAAAGATTCCTACTGTTTCATGAGCAGGTATGTTTGGCCTCATTTAAGGTGGGGGAGTAGAGGTGATGCAATTTTGGAGATTCCTGGGAATCTCCAGGTATTGTGGTATTGTTGTTTCTGCTTTGACCAAGAAGGAGAGATGGGAAAAGTAGGAAATATTGGCCTCTCTCAGCCACTGGAGCAGCTCTCCCTACTCCTGTGCCCTCTGGCACTGCCGTGACTTGATCCCCCTGTGCAGGGCAGTGGTGAGGCAACACCTCCAATCCTGGGGTCAGCTCTGGGCCCCTCAGTTCGGGAAGGACATTGAGGGGCTGGAGCGTGTTTAGGGAAGGGAACAGAGCTGAGGAAGGGGCTGGAGAACCAGGAGCAGCTGAGGGAGCTGGGGGGATCAGCCTGGAGAAAAGGAGGCTCAGAGAGGACCTGCTGGTTATGCACAACTCCCTGGCAGGAGAGGGGAGGAAGGGAGGTGTCAGGTGTCAGGCTCTGCTGCCAGGGCACAAGGGACGGGTCAAGAGGAAATGGCCTTAAGCTGGGCCAGGGGAGGTTCAGTTTGGATACTGGGGAAAACTTCTTCCTGGAAAGGTTGGTCAGGCACTGGCACAGCTGCCCAGAACAGTGGTGTGATCACCGTTCCTGGAGGGATTCAAAAAACATGGATGTGGCACCTGGGGACATGGGCTAGTCATGGCCTTGGCAGTGCTGGGGGAACTTACAGGGCTTTTCCAAACTCTGCAATTCTATTATGTTGTGACTGATCCAACCCTTATCAGGGTGGCAATCCTTTGCTGTAGCCCTTATTATTTCCCCTAATGAGTGGTAGATTAAATCAGGCCAAATGATCATTCTGGTCCCACCTTTCACAAACTGTAGGAGAGCTGGTGAAATGTGATGAGTCCCTGAGGTGCAGGAGCTTCTGCATCACCCAAGGGACTTTGTGCCACCCTCGGGCAGGCTCATGGGAGATATCCAAGGGCTTTCTGGGATTTCTGAGTTCCCCCATAGCCAGGATTTGGTTAGTTTCCCAAAATATATCACCTTCTCCACTCTTGTTGTCATGTAAGCATGTGTCTGGAGAGGAGGTTTTGGATAAAGATGCAGTGGGTTTGGGAGAGATTTCTCTCACTGGCCACAAGACATCCACCGCCTGTTGTGGCCAGGGGAAATGTCACTCTTCAGTGAACAGCTTAGAAAATGATAAAAAGATCCATTTTCAGCTTCTCCTTCTGTGGGCTCTGAAGGAAAGAGAAAGATAACAGGCTAGAAAACTCCATTCAGTTGTCCTTTATCAGCTAATAGGGAAGAATAAAAGCAGATGGATGGTCCCAGGTGGCGATGAGAGAGGTGCAGGCACAGAAAGTTTTCACAGCTCTACCAGAGTTTGTAAATATACCTGGAAAAGCTGCTTAATCTGACTCTGTCCCTCCTCTTTAATGGCTTGTTGTGGTGCTTCAAAGCCAGTGGTTTGGAAATACTCATTAGTGCCCTCAAGGTGTTGTTTGCTACGGACATGGGACCCCAATAAATCCAGGACTAATGGATTCAGAGCTGCCAAGAGCTCCTGTGTGCCAAGCCACACAGCATCCCAGTGCTCTGAACCACACAGGGCCTGGACCATCTCTCTGATGAGGAAAGACTGCAGGAGCTGGGCCTGGTGAGTCCAGAGAACACTGAGAGGGGATCCCATCAATCCAGACAAATACCTCCAAGGGGTGTCAGAGGATAGTGACAGACTCTTTTCAGTGGGTGCCCAGCGATAGGGTGAGAAGCAATGGCCATAAACTAAACCCTAAGAAGTTCCACCTCAACATGAGGAAGAACTTCTTGGCACGGAGGAGGGCAGAGCACTGGAACATCTGCCCAGGGAGGGTGTGAAGTCTCCTTCTCTGGAGATACTCCAAACCCATCTGGGAGTGTTCCTGTGTCACCAGGTGACCCTGCCTGGGCAAGGGGGCCAGACTGGATGATCTCCAGAGGTCTTTTCCACCCCAGAAATCCTGGGGTTCTGGGATTCTGTATATCACTATTCCACACTGTGGTGGCTGGAACCAGCTTCAGAGCATGGCCCAAGGGTCTGTAAACACATCCCCCTTCCCAGTTGTTGATAGCCCATGAAAGACCAATCAGTGCAGACATATCCAAGCTTCTCTGATTCTGGGGTGAAAACACAATTTTTTTTTCCTACTGTTTTCTTTATACAGCCCCAAGAACCCTGTGGGATATGGTCTAACAGAACTGTGCCAATATCCCAGTTAAAAAGGACTGTGTGACAGCCAACAAATTACAGTGAGACCATCCACTCCGAACCATGACAAGTTTGAAGTGTCCTCTGCTTCTCTCCCTGACTTTCTGCTAATGTAGGAATATTTCCCCACAAAATTATGCTCTGTGCTACCTCTGCCTGGCTCTGCAGTGCAGGGGAGGAGTGGCTGATCTTTTCCTAGATCAGGAAAGGATGGGTGATACTTCAGGAGAAACTTGGAGTCTCCCAAGCCACATTCACAGCTTCTTAGGAGTTTGGTGTGCGGTACCTCTCATCACAAGAATCAAGGTTTGGGAATGACAAAATAGAGATTTTATCAAGGTGTTGATAGCAATTATATTCTGTTGAAAACCTATTTACAACACGGGAGAGTTTGCAACAATTTACTACGAAGGAAAGGCAGACAGAGAAAATTCAAGATTTCCCTTTTAAGTAGAAGGATTCTTTCTCTAGCTTAGCACTGCAGATTGTCCCTGGGGCTGTCTACATGTCCTGTCCTTGAGCCAGGGCTGGCACACCTGGGAATGCTTGGATTGTTCCAAGAAGAGGCTGACACAAAGATGTGATTCCTCACTACCTTTTTGTTGTGTGCTTTCCAGCTGGGAAATTAGCTTCCAGTTTGTTGCTCACCTCTTATAAGCACTTGATGACTGAGCACAACAATACCGTAGAAATACTGGAAGGTTGGACATTTATAGAATACTTGTGGACATAAATGTTGGACATTTATAGAATGGACTTGTATAGGTTGGAAAAGCCTTCTGAGATCATCTAGTCCAACTATTGCCCCAGGACTACCACTAGCCCAGTAAATTCCTCCAAGGAATGGGGACTTCACCGCTGCCCTGGGCAGCTGTGCCAAGACTGAGAAATCCTTTCAGGGAAGAAATTTTCACAATATCCAACCTAAACCTCTGCTGGTGCAACTTGAGGCCTTTTTTTTTTTGTCCTGTCTCTTGTTCCCTGAGAGAAGAGCCTGACACCCACCTAGGTCCACCCTAGGTCAGTTAATTTCTTCCACCCCCAGACTCTGTAACTCAAATTTCTCTTCCAAAACGCACAGTGTTAAAACATGTCCAGCCTTGTATCCTGAAAAGGGACTGGACAGAACCTTAAAATAGATTCAGGGCTGTATTAAGGTGGAAAAACAAGACACTCATCTGGCTTCTTCAGGCAAAATGGCACCAAATGCCATCTTTCAGGTAAATTCAGGCAATTTCAGGCAAGTTCAGGCAAATTCAGGCAAAGACTAAATTCAGTGTGGTTTCTGTTGCCCTCAGCACTGTCACTGCTGTGGCAGCGTTGGGGAAGGAGAGTTAGAGGAGGTGGAAGGAACTTTTCATCAGGAACTGGAGGGACAGGGCAAGGAGGAATGGCTTCCCACTGCCAGAGGGCAGGGTTACATGGGATACTGGGAGGAAACTGTTCCCTATGAGGGTGGTGAGGCCCTGGCACAGAATGCCCAGAGAAGCTGGGTCTGCCCCTAGATCCCTGGAAGTGTCCAAAGTCAGGCTGGATGGGGCTTGGAGCAACCTGGGATAGGTGGAAGGTGTCCCTGCCTGTAGAAGG